AATCTCTGCACTTTTTCATTTTATTTTTGTCTCCTTTGCTGGATGGGAATTGATCTTGTGTCCTGACAGCCTCATGATTTACGATGGAGCCCGAACACTGCATGGAAATGCTGCAGGGAGACTGTCCATGTCTGGACAATGTTGTCTTCCTCCAGAGACGCTTTAATTTTGCGTATTTCAGACTCATCACCTGAACCTGGTATTAGGACTGAGCAAGTTTGAAGCTGGGTTTCAGTATATTTGTGGGGCTCGTCTAGTTCAGCTTTGTCCTAACGCCTTGAGTGTAGCCTCAGACACTGCTGTACCAGGCTCCCGACGTGGCCCTGACCGCATTTCTGCCTCCCCTGACCTGAGGACCATGGGGAGGTCTAGCGGCCTCTCCTGCTTCCGTCTCAGCCTCCAGGCGCTGCCCTGCGTAGGGATCGGCCGACACTTGGGAAGAAAAACACGGCACGAAGGAACTCTCATTTCAGCATCTTCCTGTTTCTCTGAGATGCTTGTCTCCTCAAATCCTGGTTGTCTTGATTACTTTCTAAAACCTCTCAGACCACAATGCCGGGGCGGGGTGGGGGCCGGAGGAGGGAGTCCATGGGGGAAAACGGAGAAACGTGTAACAAAAATAAATTAATTAAATAATAAAATAAAATAAATCCTCTAAGAGATTTAATGCATTTTTTCTCAGCCTTTCTAGTTACTTCCTTCCTGATCTGAAACAAGCTGGTCCATTGTAACCAAATGCAAAGTCCCCAACCCAAGGCGTTGCTGGCAGGACAGCCAGAGCCTGTTCCACAGGAATCAGAAGAAACGATGTCTCCATTACCGCGGCGCACTTCCTTTTCCATGGACATAGCATCCACTCCTGTCCCTTCTCCGCGGGATGGACGTGTTTCTAGTTAGCCTTGTCTTTGCTCCTCGCCTTCCCAGTTTCTTTCCGTTTTGAAGGAGGGCCCCAAACTGATGGTGAACTCTCAGTGCCCACCCAACCAACTCCGGAGCCAGCCAGTTGCAAGCCCCCCCTGCCCCCAGGCCAGACTGCACGGGAGCCCTCCTGAAAGCCTTCCACGCGCTCCCCTTTCTCTTCTGCCCCGTCACACTCATGGCACAGTGTTCATGTCTCATTTCAATTATCTTAAGTACTTGTCTCTCTCTGGCACTAGACTATGTAGGGGTCCAAGGTCAGAGATGGTTTCATTTACCCTATTTCTGGCATGGAGTTGAAGCTAAACATTTTTACTGACGGAATGATAACAGAGTTCCTTACAAGTCCAGGATTAACTTGTAACTCTCTAAAAATATCAACTTTTCCCCTTCTATAGCTGTGCTCAGGCATTCCACAGGTAGGGTTAGCCTAGATGTCTCTTTAAATATCTCTTGATTTCCTTTACATGTCTATTTAAAAGATCATTCTACAAATTCTTATATTGTACTATTGCCAAAAGCTGTTTCTTGGAAATATATTAATAAACACACAGCATATAATAAGCCACCAACTGAAATAGATGTATTGACATTTTATTGATAGGCATTTATTGACAAATTTTAATCTTTTCTTGTAATAAGCATGTTTTTTTCAGTTTAGATTATTTTTATATCCATTCCTATAATAATTGTATCTAGGGATCAAATCAAGTAGCTCATCATTTGCTTCAAGGTGTTAGAAAAATAATAACAGTTTAAATAATATAATTCAAAGGAAAATAATAAAAATGTAATTTAATGCATAGAAAAAATAACAGGTGGCTCTGAAAATGAACAATAAAGTTGGGATAGCTCTGGAGTGATTCTGAGAGAGAGGGAGAGAGAGAGAGATGGAGGGGGAGAGAGAGAGAGATGGAGGGGAGAGAGAGAGAGATGGAGAGGGAGAGAGAGAGAGAGAAAGAGAGAGAGAGAAACATCAAGTGAGAGAGACACATCTATTGGCTGCTTCTCACAAGACCCAACCAGGACCAGGGATTGAACCTGCAACCGAGATACATGCCCTTGATAGGGAATCAAACCCAAGACCCTTTGGTCCTCGGGCCAACTCTCTAACCCTAACCCAAACTGGCCAGGGCTATGGGACCATTTCTGTAACGGTATCAGCTTTCAGAGCTCCGTGTGGGCACTGCGATCAACGTGTGTCATCTGGGGAGGGCAGGCGGCCTCGGCGGGCACGCTGGCCGAGGGCCTGAGTCACACCCTGCGGCCCCCTGACTTGCGTGTCCGCAGCCCTCCTGAGGGCTCTCCGAAGCTGCCGAGGGAACAAGCACCCTTTCACGGTTCCCACGATTCCTGAGATGGCTCCCACGGTCTCCCCCACCCACCTGTGCAAGGGCACCGCTTTCCTTCTGAAAACCTCGTTCGGAGGGAGGGAAAGTTCTGTGTGTCAGTCAACTGTTGTGCAGAAATGGATCTCCCCACCTGGAATTCCCTCTGTAGCCATGACGTGAGCTGAGAGAGGTCACCCACCCAATAAAGTCTGCTCATTGAATGACCACTCACTCCCAGACTTTTGTCCCTATTGAAATACAGTTTAAAGTTAGTTAAAAGCACACCACGACTGCTTCTTAACATTAACTTTTATCTAGCTATGCATTTCTTTCTCTGATATAAATTACTAGACATCCTAAATTATTGATGAAATGAAACATAATTTGGGTAATCTAAGATTGGTGTAAAAAATGTGGATATTAATGCAAATATCTGTTACCCCAATGATGTCCCTGTGCATTCTCCACCCACCCCATCCAAGGAAAATTCCAAGTTTGGGTTCTGCTTTAGGTTAACGGAAAACAATAGCGGACACTGTGTCTGTAACTAGCTATGACACAGTTATTTCAGTTTCCTCGGCTCCTTCCCGTACCAGATAACTTCATTTCTGCACCCCACTCCCAGACCTGGAGGGAGGGCTTCTCTCCATGTCTTCCTGCGGGACAGAGACGCCTCCTCAACCGACACCCACGCATCCATAGGTCTGGACAAACCAATGGCCTTTTCTCAATAAATGCTTTCAGAAATATGGGGCCAGCTGGTATTTTGCTGCACTCGAGATTATGTGGACTGGTTTTATAAAGGAGGCAGTGAGGAGGTGAGTGGACGTGGACGCGGGGGTGAGGACCTCGGAGTCCCAGGACTGGAGAGCAGCACCCTAGCCTCCGCCCTCTGACCTCAGATCGGATTCTAGAGTGCGTGTCGTTAGTCCGCTGTACTGTTTGTGTGTCCTTCCAGCCATACATCCTTTTTACTTTAGTTAGTTTGAATGTGTGCTAATTATTACAATCAAATAAGGTTGAGTTATGCCCTGGCCGGTTTGGCTCAGCGGTTAGAGCGTTGGCCTGCGGTCCAGAGAGTCCTGGGTTCTTCAGTTCCTGCTAAGAGCACGTACCTCAGTTGCAGTTTGTCCCTGATCCTGGTTGGGTCATGTGAGAGGCAGCCACTCAATGTGTTCCTTTCACGTCGATGTTTCTCTCTCTCTCTCTCTCCCACTCTATCTGAAAAAAAAAAAATGTCCTCGGGTGAGGATAAAAAAAAATAAGGTTGAGTTATGAATTACTTTACAGCTTTTTAATTATTTGTTTATTTTTTGTTAATCCTCCACTCGAGGATATTTTTCCATTGAATTTTAGAGAGAGTGGAAGGGAGGGAGGGGAAGGGAGAGATGAAGATCAACGTGAGAGAGACACATCAACTGGGTGCCTCCCTCACGAACTCGACAGGGGCTAGGGACAGAGCCTGCAACCCAGGGACGTGCCCTTGACCAGGAATCAAACCTGAGACCCTTCAGTTCTCAGACCAATGCTCTAACCTCTGAGCCAAACCAGCCAGGGCTACTCCACCACTTTTTAAATTCTGTAATTCAGAACGGCTTGTGTTAGTTTTCAAGATGGAAGGTACATCATGATTTTTATTAATATCATTTTAAGTAGACTATAAAGATTGGTTAATACTTTTATTGATGTCATGTAGCATGTTTTGAAATTGACATCTTTACCTTAAAACATTAGTGGACACTTCCTTTAGTCCAATATTGAAGATAATAGAGAATACAAAGATTACCTAAGCCGGAGGGAAAGAATGAACAGAGAGCTTAATAATCAAATGGGTTTGCATGAAACACCAGGGCCCCACATTTTATTAAATATTCATATTTATAAATACGCCATTGAGCATGCTTTTGGTGCTAGTAAATAAGAAGTAATTAGAAGGACAAAGCTATTTACTGTGGAAAGAAGCACACTGTTCAGAGATGGTCAGCAAGGGTCCGGGTTCTGTCTGTCTCTCCTCCCAGCTTCCTCGATGCGCTGGCTTGAGTCCTTAGCCCTGTCTCTTCGTGAGTTCGAGATGTGGCTGCAGACCCTGTGATTCACTCAGCCTCGGCCAAACACAGAAGGCAGTGCCCATCCGGGATTGTTTTAAAAGACTGAAGGCTAGATTTTCCCAAAAGCCCTCCCCACACACACTTCCTCTTCAAACCCATTGGTAAAGTTCCTGGTGTGCTCTATCGGCCAAACAGACAGGGCATATTTTCCTTGTATCCTCAAATATGCCACTTGGATGATAAATTATGACTATTTTAGGTTTGGTCACATGCTTATGCTTTAGAAACAGAGTCCTGGGAAAAAACACACAAAATTCCCCCAAACATCTGGTATTTTTAGCCTCTGTTGTGAAGAGTGAGTCTGGCCAAGGGTAAGGTCGCAGCTTTGGAGCAGGTGACCAATAAGGTTTGCCACATGGTCAGTACTAATAATCTCCAGTTTCTCATTATGGCATTAGACATTGTGCAAGCAGATTAAGTGATTATACTAGAATCCTCCGTGATGATTTGGGTGTCCTTGAATGTAAATTTAGGAAGAAGTATCAATGACTCAATTTTATTATTAGGGGACATTCTACTTCATCTTCTACTTCAAAATATTGATAATGAGAAAACTAGCAACTCTGCTACTTTTTTGGCCCTTTTTTTTTTTTTTTATTGCTTTTGATGAGATTCTAAATTATTTTCTCTGGCTTTCTTCCAGCATTAGATCCAGTGACCCGGCAACTTATGCTCCAAACAGCTAACCCAACTTTTGGCCACCTCACAGATGTGAGTAAATGTCGACATTATAGTAGATGTCTGTATTCGGGGTAATTCCGTGCAAACCAACATTATGTTTTACATTAAGTAGCAAGGCTGCAGTATTAACCACTCTGTAGAATACAGTGGAATAAATGCTTGTAAAAGTTCTTACCATGACCCATCTACCTGTGTATGTGTTTTAATGTTACTTATGGTAATATTTTTGATAACCTGGAGATTATAACAGACTATAAAAATGTTCATAGTCTGTCTCAGCACAGGTCGACCAGATAATCAGCCTTCCATAGAAGAGTTCCATCTATTTTTTTTCTTCTAGGACTTTCACAGTTTTAGATCTTATATTTTGAGTTGAGTTTTGTGTATGGTGTGGGATAAGACTCCAGTTTCATTCTTTTGCATGCTGGAAATATGTGCAGAATGGTTGAACCTTGAGGATCTTATGCTAAATAAAATCAGCCAATCACATAAGGACAAATCTTGCATGGTGCCACTTATATAGGGTTTATTTATTTTTATTATTTTTCTTTATTGATTTTAGAGAAAGAGGAAGGGAGAGGGAGAGAGATAGAAACATCGATGAGAGAGAACATTGATTGGCCACCTCCTGCATGCCCACAACCTGGGCATGTGCCCTGACCGAGAATCGAACCAGAGACCTCTTGGTGCAGGGTCGACACTCAACATATGAGCCATAGCAGCTGGGCTTATATGGGGATTATAAACTAGGTTCATGAAAAAAAAAAAAAACAGAACCGTGGTTAGTTGCCAGGGGCTGGAAGAGAGGAAATGCTAACATTTCACTTATGAAGATGAAGACATTCTGAAGATGCACTCTATAACAATGTACCTGTAGATAACAATAGGGTCTCGTATACTTCAATCTGTTAAGAGGGTACATCTCGTGCTAAGTGTTTTTACCACAATATAATAGTTAAAAATAAAAGTTTAACATTTTTTGAACAGTACAAACATTTAAACAGATACTTAAAAGCTGTGAATTGTATTTTGGTGTTAGCATGTCCTTTTCATGTTAATAAAATATTTCTCATCATTGCAATAAATATACCTTATGCCAATCCCATTACAATGTACATTCGGGTTATGCTGTGTTATGCTGAGAGGACCGTTATGAATGAGACCGTGTTAAATATGGAGTCGGTTCATGCTAGAATTTCATAACCTGAGCGAGAAATGTGAAGGCAGTCTTGAACACGTGTGTGGAATAATGACGAGCATGGAGAATGTGCAGACCACGCACACGCCAGCAGTGCAGGGAGGCCAGAGGGCCGACAGGATGGCTCTGGACGAAAGGGAGGCCGAGCCCAGGGCCGCAGGTCTGGGCCACTTGTGAAGGAGGCAGTCGTGATGTGTGCCGTGCCTACATGGGAGCCAAGTCCCAGGGGAGAGGAAACCGGTTGGCAGTTTAAACAAACAGGGTCTTTGCAGACCAGAGCCCTGAAGGGATGTTACAGACTCGCGTGTTTACAGTGTGGTGCCGGGTGCTCGAGCTCCCGAGTCCCTGACAAAACCCTCCGTGAAATCCACGCAGGAGCCGCCGCTCTCGGCGTGTTCTCGTGGCTGAATCTGAACACCTGTTGAGTTCCTCATTAAGATGAACGCGTGGTAGGAAAGGGTCTCGCGACGGGGACATCTGGGTTGTATTTGGAGAACCCATCTGGGGTTTGTAAATGAGGGTGCAGCCCTCAGCTGGATTTTGGGTTAAATCATCATGAGGAAAGTGAGACCAGAGCATTTCCTCACTGTGGTTGCCAAGGGACACAAACCACCACGGCTGCTGGCATGTGACTTTGTAGAAGAGAGATGTTAGGAGACGTGTGTTTGCCAAGGGCCCAGATTAATACTGAGAGACTCAAGTGAGCGGGTAAATTTAGATGCTGTTTCGTGTATCTGGGTGAGGGAATTAAGAAATGTTATTCTGAGGTTGGATGCCAGCGATGGATAAGGATTTGAAACACACAGGAAATTGATTTCTTAAGAGATGAAAACAAGGCCAGGATGGTAGTGAGGTGCTGTGGCAGCTGCCCCCAGCACGGTAGGTCCCCAGAGAAAGTGCTCTGTTGGGTGACTGGTCATCAGCCAGGCATGAGAATGATTGGCTGGGTCAAAAGCTGTAAGAAAATAGAGAAATGGAAGGGGTGTGATGCCAATGGCATGAGGAAAGGCGTTGGCCTTGGTTAGGGTGTGCCACTGAAATGCCCAGGCGCAGCCGGTACAGAGTAGAGGACACTGGAAGTTGCGTAAGGTGGACACCCCTCGCTTCTGGGTTGTTGGCAGTATATGACAAAGTGGAAGGCAGCTGAGATTACCATGTAAGTTCTGATCATAAGTCAGAAAGATAGGTCATAAAAGACTCCTACATACATCTTAAAATCAAGACTTTGTAATAAGCCTCTGATAAGACCTTGTGGAGGAAATGTGGGCACTACCCCGAGACCGTCACTTCAAGAGTAATGGGTAAATCAGCCTTCCTGGAAAGACCTTGAATTCATTGGAGACAGAGTTTCCGTCTTGATATCTGTCTCTCAGTAAAGCTGACTGGGGAGGAAGAAGGTAATGAACCTGCCCTCGGTGGAGGAAATGGAACAGGGTCTCGAACGACAATTGTCAGTTCGAAGTGGCCCATCTGTGAATTGCTAGGGCTGCCCGCCGTCTGAGTGACGGGCCACGGGCAGACGCTGCCCTCCAAACCTGCCCTGGGCACTGGGCCTGCCCCCTGACTTGATGCTGCTCGGCTGGGCCTCCTGTGTGGAGCTCACGTGAACCCCTGAGCTGTGAAGAAGCAGATTCTGGAAGGAAAGACTTTCCCACCTCTAGGTCCCAGAGTCTGGGGAGTGGAAACATACAGCCATTGATCCGGGCTGTGTGAAGGGGAGGCGCAACATCCTTGTCCTGGAGAGATCCCCTCGCGGAACCAGAGGGGTTGGAAAGGAAGGCGGAGAGCCAGTGCCCGGCTCCTGTGGGGCGTGGGCTCTGGTTCTGAGGACGCCAGGTGGTAAGCGGGGCAGGGTTGGACTTCTGAGTTCCCCTGACACAGGTATGACTTTGCTGACTCGACTGAGGGGGACCATCCAGAGTCTAGAGAAGAGACTTTCTCTACTGCTAAGTCATCGCATGGGTCAGGGACACCAGCCCAAGAGAGGCCATAGAGAAGGCGCCTGTGTCCGGTAGCTGGGAGAGTCGTCTAAGCCAGTCGTCGGAGCTCTGGGCATAACGCGGAAGCCCTGGTGTCGCAAAACCTTCACAGAATGATGGCTTTGAGGGGGATGCAGATGTTGGGAAATATGAAAATGAGAGAGAGATGTTGTTCCCAGAGTTGGTGGGGCCAGGAGGTGCGGGGAAGGTCTGGAACAGCCACCAGCGGGTGCAGAGGTCGGGGTACGCACCCAGGGGACCTGAGCAGTGGGGTGTGAGCTGTCCGAGGAGCAGACATGTAACAGGCAGCAGGGACCTGCAAAGGAGCAAAGTGGAGCAAGGAGGAAATTGCAAGTCGGAAGTGAGGCCACAGAGAGGCTCAGGACAAAACACGCCTCTAATTAACACCCGTCATGGCAGCTTCAGAGCAAGCGTCTGTGTCCTTTAAACTCACTTGCTCACTCATGACGTTGATGTGAGTTTTGTTTGTGCGGAGTGGAAAGAGGAGCCGAGTCCACTTCCAGTCGGGTGGGGCAAGAACAGATGCACATCCACAGGCCGCCCCACGTGTGGGGCGTGTCTCACGGAACCTGCCAGTGTGCTGTCCCGCCCCGGCTCCCAGGCATCTGTTCCTGAGCTTGCACAGGGCTCGGTCTGGTCCGCGGGCGGGAAGGCTGTGTCTGCCTGTGACGCCTGTGTCTTCGAAGCAGTCCGTGCACGCTGGGCACCATTCTCCCGCAGACAGAACTATTTTGACTAATTTATAAAAATGAGGAGTTTCAGACACAGCTCAGCAGTACTTGCATGGTTATTGGAATTTTAAACGAAGCTGAAGTCTTGAACGTGGTGCCACAAAGGGCCAGCTTCTGAGTTCATCATGTCCCCACGTGCCCCCCCCGTGCCTTCTCCCCGCTCCCCCTGTACCCCCTCCCCGCCGGCCCGCTCCCTGCATGCCTGCTCAGAGTGTGATTAGTTCTCCTGTGTCTACTTCTAAAAGCTCTACCTTCTTACTTTTTACATTTAAGCTACAAGTGCTGTAGAATTGACTCTGTCTTATGAAGTGAATTTAAGGTCAAGTTATTTGTTTTTGTTTTTTCCCCATATGTTTATCCAATTTCCCAACTCCATGTGCTGAAAAGACTGCCCTTCACCCAAACAGCTGCACTACTCCATCGTTACGCATCCACTAACCACAGATGCGTGTCTCTTCACATATTCTCTGTTTTAATACAGGCACAATGTCCACCCCACATCAATGCAACAATGGCTTAATTTTTTTTTTCTTTATTAATTTTAGAGTGAGAGGAAGAGAGATGGGGATAGAAACATCGAGGAGAGAGAACATCAATGAGAGAGAACATCGACTGACCGCCTCCTGCATGACCCCACTGGGGATTGGACCCACAACCTGGACATGTGCCCTGACCGGGAATGAACCTCCGACCTCTTGGTGCAGGGTCGACGCTCAACCACTGAGCCACACCAGCCAAACAATGGCTTAATTTTTGAAAGTTACATATAAATTTTTATTTGTTTGTAGAGTAAATCCTCTTACTTTGGCCACCGTGGTTGCTTTGTTAATTGCCCTCCATTTAAATTTTACAATAAAGTTAAGTTATCAATACCCATAAAACAACCTCCTGGGACTTCAAGGTGTTCTACTTAGCTTGATTTTTCCACAGTTCCATTTCGATGTGCTGACCTTTGGTTTTGGTTTTATTTCTCTCTATTTTGTTTAGGTTTTAGAGCTTTCCGAACCTATGGGTTTATATCTTTCATTAGTTTTGGAAAATTTTCAGTCGGGATTTTTCCTAATGATTCTGTTTCATTCTCGTTCCTCTGCATCTGGGACG